GCCACCTGAATCAACTCAATTCAACTGACTACTAGGAACCTCGTTTAACTACATGGAAAAAGGCGGAAAATGCAATGTCACGGACATGTAATAATGACCTCTCAAAAAACAATCTAGATGGCTCAGTGGAGAGACAGAGAAGAGGACCAAGAAAGACCTGGACACAGAACTTGATTTACTGGACAGGCTTTGGCCATACAAGCATAAAGTCCGTCGCGTCTAACCGTCAAAGGTGCACCGAGCTGAAAAGTCAACAGCAACTGGTGACCCTAAGTCACGCCGTATTACCGGACGAGGACAACGACGATGATGACGATGATATGGTTATCAGACAAAGACGATGGTGATAGATTGAGAACATGAGCGGACAGAGATTTACCAAACAGGCACTGAAGTAAGAAATGAATGGACTGAAAAATCGAGCAAGTCCAAAAGAAATCAGAAAGGCTAAGACCGTGATACGCAGGAGGTGGGTTGGAATCTATCCGTGCTAGCAGAATGATAACACAAGATAGAACGGTAGGACGGAATACTGCAAGCTCTCTGTGACGTAGTCAACGTCTGTGGCTAAGACGTTGCAAAGGCGCTTCGTAAGGGGCGTGCCAGATTCGATTCCAGTTGCGGGCCTTTTGGCAACAGACCGTCTTGCGTTTCTTTCGGCGGTGGTACCCTCAGCCGACAGTTTAAGGTCAATGAATTGCAAACTAGGTTAGTTGCGTATCCTTTACAGGACGTTGTAGAACCAACTTCAACAGCCCCTTGCTGTTGTGTGATTTTTTAGACAAATTTACGTGAAGTAATTTGCTACTGTTTTCTAGACGGTCAGCTTTCTTGATACCACTTTCGAAACCATAGCAAGGTGCATGGCCCGCAGCTGGGATCGGTATTACGAAGCGTTGAATTGCAAACTACTGAACGTAAATTTGCCTAGAAAAAAAAAAACACAACAGCCAAACAATGCAACGTCCTGTAAAGGATACGCGACTTTTTTTTTTTTTTTTTTACGTATAAATGAACAACAGAACAGGATGGTGATGACAAGTCCCATTTGGCGGATAAGCATACTTACTGTTTTTAGCCGTGGCAAATTATTTGCTTTTGGCTACATTTAGCCATTGCATTTTCCCCACATATATGGACTGAAAGTATATAGTACCGTCGCCAGCCACTCAGCGAAGTGCATGGAGCGATAATGTGAACTGCGGATTTCATTTGGTATGCTTTGCGACTGTGCTCACCGTGATTTGTGTTGTGAACTGGAGATTACGTTAGGACTGTGATTACTTGATTACATGATGTTGATGATGATGATGTGACCGTCCTTGTAACACGTGCGTCCTTTACGAGGTCACACCTGTTTTTGTCCTTGTGTCCACAGAGACTGACTTCTGTGCCGGAGTGACCTGTGAGAACAACGGAACCTGCTACAGCGCACACAACAACTTCACCTGCTCCTGCACACCTGGCTGGCAAGGGCCCCTCTGTCGTGAAGGTACATCCACGAGTGCTCGTCCTTGACTCTGCCTGTACTTGTCACCTGGTGTGGTTTGTTCTGAGGAAAAGGTAAAGGTAAAGTCGGGAGACGTGAACCAGCCTCATTGAACAAAGTTATAAACCATAACTGCTCTGCCACCAGTACGGACAGCTGATAAGAAACTGTCCGCCTGTGTCGCCGTTAGCACGTAACTCTGTAGCTACAGCGACGTTCCTCCATTTACCCCAGAGTGTCAACTCTGATACCCATTTCCTAGACGCTGGGTGAACCCGGGGAACCGCCCAGTTTCGAACACCGACCGTGGCTGCAGCGAGTCGTAGTTGGATTTGAAAGCGAGCCTCTTATTGACTGCGCTAACCCGGCCCCGGGTTACTGAAATTACTGAAATAATAAAAGTAAGGCACCTTCTTCTATCTTTCTACTTCTTTCTATGAGTGCCGTTCACAATACTTTCTGTTACTTGATTAATTCATTGTATATTCACAGGAAGAGGTCCGCAATTTACAGGTGACTGAGGCCCTGTTAGGGTATATTTTTCGGCCTCGATAATTTGGGACCGTTATTCGGAGGATAGCCTAATATTCCATTATTGTCATGGATGCAATTGTCATGTTGTTGTCAATTCCTGCCAGTTATCAAATGTGTATTATGCTACTTCTGTTCTGTTTCGGATGCTATTCTAGTTTCTCTTTTGTGTGCTGATGAAGGCTCAAAAGCCGCAACGTTCACGTTTTGTGTGTATTTGTTATATTGTGAAGCTTGCCCATATACTTCTCGTTCGGGTTTATATCTTTCTTGCTAGTTTCTCCAGGTTTGTTTCCCTGTCACTTGAACTGTATTTTGTTGTCGACAGAGAAACATTATTGTGACCCAGCTCCCTGCCAAAATGGCGGCACCTGTACACAGAATCTGACCTTGACCCCGGACTACTTTTCGTGCGACTGCAGAGAAGGCTTTACTGGCTCCACTTGTGGACAGGGTAAGGCGTGGATAGAACGATCGAGGGATAGATGTGTGTGAATGGATAGGTCAATGGATATATAGATGGATGGATGTGTGAATGAATGAGTAGGTGGGTGGATTGGTGGATGAACGGACGTATTGAATGATGAATGGGTGTGGGTGGTGGATGAATGGATGGATTAGTGGGTGAATGTGCAAGAGGGTGGATGGATGAATGCACAAATGGCTGATCAGAAAGCTGTGTTTGTTCTTATAACATGAGAAGTCACACACTTACATCTCTGTTTGTTCTTGTAACATGTCCGCCTTTATGAGATCACACACTTACATCTGTGTTTGTTCTTGTAACATGTTCGTTCTTTATGAGATCACACACTTACACCTGTTTTTGTCCTTGTAACACGTCTGTCCTTAATGAGATCACACACTTACACCAGTGTTTGTCCTTGTAACACGTCAGTCCTTTATGAGATCACACACTTACACCTGTGTTTGTTCTTGTAACATGTTCGTCCTTTATGAGATCACACACTTACACCTGTTTTTGTCCTTGTAACACGTCTGTCCTTAATGAGATCACACACTTACACCTGTGTTTGTCCTTGTAACACGTCAGTCCTTTATGAGATCACACACTTACACCTGTGTTTGTTCTTGTAACATGTTCGTCCTTTATGAGATCACACACTTACACCTGTGTTTGTTCTTGTAACATGTTCGTCCTTTATGAGATCACATACTTACAACTGTGTTTGTTCTTGTAACATGTTCGTCCTTTATGAGATCACACACTTACACCTGTGTTTGTCCTTGTAACATGTTCGTCCTTTATGAGGTCACACACTTACACCTGTGTTTGTCCTTGTAACACGTCCATTTTTTTTAATAAAGTCACACACTTACACCTGTGTTTGTCCTTGTAACATGTTCTTTCTTTATGAGTTCACACACTTACATCCATGTTTGTCCTTATAACACGTCCATTTTTTTTTTTTAAAGTAGCACACTTACACCTGTGCTTGTCCTTGAAACACGTCCTTCCTTTATAAGGTCACACTTGGTATAACACAAATCGCCCTCCTCATCTTCATTTCATATTTTGCCACTTCAGGTGAGGGAAATCTGAAGTTCTGCTTCTTGCTCTTCTGTCTACCTTGTGTTCTAGGTCCTTTTCTTTTGGTGTATGCTTTGCATCGTATGGCGTCACAAGGCATTCTGTCTCAGTGGGCACACTATTTGATCGTCCGTCCTTGTATGTAGTTTAGAACTGTTTCTGTGTCGACTTTCCTCCTATGACCATATTGTCGATGTTATCTGGTCTAGTCACTCCGGCAGCCCTTCCCAACTACTCAGCCACTGTCAGCAAACGCTAGCTTGGTTTTCTGATCCGCAACGTCCTGTAAAAAATCTCAAGCAAACTGTAACTGTCAGCAGAATCTGTGTTTTGCTAAGATCTGTACATTTATCGAAGATCTGTAACACTATAATCTACCAAACATGTCGTAAGAGGCAACCAAATGGGGATTGGTGTGAGCACTGGCAACCCCAATCACATAGACAACTTTCAATGAAAAACTTAACCAATCACAAACAAGTCTACATATCATAAATACATATAATTGGCACTGACAGCTGCCGAGGAAATAATTAAAGACAGCAGAACACTCCAGACAACATACCAATTTTAAGCTGTATAGTTAAGATATGCAACAATGGTTACTGTATATGCATTCGAAAATAAAATGGCTGAGAAATATGATGAACGTAAATTTGGATGCATTCAAGACTAGTGAAGAAATAAGAGAGATGCCTCAGCAACCATTAATGTCGAAAGTTATAAGACACATTTTGGACACATTCTGATCAGACATGAACCGCGAATCTTTATCAGGTACTGAAATTGGAAATGGAGGGATTAACAACAAGCAACAACAACAAAAGAAATGAAACGTTTAAGAGAAACTCTGATGTGAAAGTTGATAAGAGAAACCAAAAGTGCTAGACTGGGGTCCATCCACGATGTTCAAGTAATTGCACAGGATAGAATGGAATGGGGAAAAAACAGACTGCCAGATTGACTACCACACGGGCGGTCAGTCCCAGTCAACATTGTACAGCTAAGGTTAGTTGAGTATCCTTTACAGGACGTTGCAGAACCAACCACAGGCTGTTGTGTGGTTTTTCTAGGCAAATTTACGTCCAGTAGTTTGCCATTGCTTACTGCACGGTCGGCTCTCTTGATACCACTGTCGAAACCAACGTAAGGCGCATGGCCCGCAGCTGGGATCGAACCCGGCATCCCGGCATTACGAAGCGTTCCCATCGACTTAGCCACAGAGCCGACATTGTACAGCTACTTTATCATATATTTTATAATAGCATGAATGGTTTCTCCGCACACTGGTGACCCTGGGTACATTGTGAGTGGCATATGCTGCATTGGGAGATAAAAGACATGGCGGGTGTGGGAATAATCCATGCAGAGAAATGAATGAGAGAAGAAAGAATGCGATACTTACAGTTAACCAATGATTGCTTGCAGACGTTCATGAATGCCTCAATGCAACTATCTGTGGCAATGGGATCTGTATTGAACTGTTGGGCTCCTACGGCTGTGTGTGTCTACATGGATGGACAGGCGACGACTGTCAAACAGGTCATTGTTCATTCTGTCATCCGTTTTATGCCTTTATTATGTCTGCGTTCGTCATCTCTTACACTGTCTTTCCTTATCGTGTCTTATTTATAATATTGCCATCTGTTTTATGTCTTTGTTCATTCTGTTCATTATGCCTTCGCATGTTTTTATAGGTTAAATTTTTTGTGAATTTTTGTTTAGATTATTTTGTCTACTCCTGCACCTCACCCTTCCTCTCCCCTTCATCCATATGGCCTCCTTTCTTTCCTGCTATTCTTCGTGTTTTCTACTCCTCCTCATTATCTACCTCCTCATCCTTCGTCTTTGTCTCTACTTGTGATGGGTGAAGAACAGTGACGTGGAGGGTTGCTTGCCGCCCTATGTGTCATCACTTAGATGGGGTTGACAAAGCAGCAACAATATGTGTTTTAGACATTCAAAAAATAAGTGCGGGGGGGGGGGGGGATTGGGGGAGGGGTGGTAATAAAAGTGTTGTTAAATAAACATATGGTTGGGGGGGGGGGGAGGGGAGGGGAGTCGTGCAATCTGCACCAAGGATTATAGGAGCTTGCTACACCACTGGAGGAGAGAAGCAGGCAGGAAAAGAAGTTTATGTGACTGCTGTGTTGTCTTTGTTCTTCACGGGATGTCTGATCGGAATGCCTTATTCTTTTTTCTGGGAACATTCCTTGGACAGATGTAAACGAATGCACGGAATCAACTGCTTGCCCAGAATACCATCACTGCAACAACACAGCCGGTGGTCATGATTGTCTATGTGATGATCTGCTCGAGTACATTGATCATTCATGCAAAAGTAAGTTGTATAGGTGTGTTTCACATATGAATCATTGATCATTCATGCAAAAGTAAGTTGTATAGGTGTGTTTCACATATGAATCATTGATCATTCATGCAAAAGTAAGTTGTATAGGTGTGTTTCACATATGAATCATTGATCATTCATGCAAAAGTAAGTTGTATAGGTGTGTTTCACATATGAATCATTGATCATTCATGCAAAAGTAAGTTGTATAAGTGTGTTTCACATATGAATCATTGATCATTCATGCAAAAGTAAGTTGTATAAGTGTGTTTCACATATGAATCATTGATCATTCATGCAAAAGTAAGTTGTATAGGTGTGTTTTCACATATGAATCATTGATCATTCATGCAAAAGTAAGTTGTATAAGTGTGTTTCACATATGAATCATTGATCATTCATGCAAAAGTAAGTTGTATAGGTGTGTTTCACATATGAATCATTGATCATTCATGCAAAAGTAAGTTGTATAGGTGTGTTTCACATATGAATCATTGATCATTCATGCAAAAGTAAGTTGTATAAGTGTGTTTCACATATGAATCATTGATCATTCATGCAAAAGTAAGTTGTATAGGTGTGTTTCACATATGAATCATTGATCATTCATGCAAAAGTAAGTTGTATAAGTGTGTTTCACATATGAATCATTGATCATTCATGCAAAAGTAAGCTGTATAAGTGTGTTTCACATTTGAATCATTGATCATTCATGCAAAAGTAAGTTGTATAGGTGTGTTTCACATATGAATCATTTTGATCATTCATGCAAAAGTAAGTTGTATAGGTGTGTTTCACATATGAGTTCACAGGTGAAGAGATATGTTCATAGATAAATAGATTTACCCACAGGTGAATAGATATATTCATAGATAAATAGGTGTACCCCTAGGTGAATAGATATGTTCATAGATAAATAGATGTACCCACAGGTGAATAGATATGTTCATAGATTAATAGATATACTCACAGGTTAATAGATATATTCATAGATAAATAGATGTACTCACAGGTGAATAGATACGTTCATAGATAAATAGATATACTCACAGGTGAATATATATATTCATAGTTAAATAGATGTTCTCACAGGTTAATAGATAAATTCATAGATAAATATATTTACTCACAGGGGAATAGATATATTCATAGATAAAAAGATATATTCACAGGTGAATAGGTAAGATCATAGATAAATAGATATATTCACAGGTGAATAGGTATGATCATAGATAAATAGATGTATTCACAGGTGAATAGATATGTTCATGGATGAATAGATGTATTCACAGGTGAATAGATATGTTCATAGATGAATAGATGTATTCACAGGTGGATATATATGTTTATAGATGATTAGGTGTACCTAGAAGTGAATATGTATGTTTAAAATAGAATCAATACATGTGTTCAAAGTGAGTTTAATAAATTATCTGTCTCTGTGTGTCTTTCTCTTTCGTTCTCTCCCTCACACACTCACACACAAATTCATGTGTGAACACACAGCCTTACCTAATTAAAGCAGTGTTCCTTCAACCTGTGGCCACGGCCCACTGGTGGGCCAGAAAAACGTCCAGGTGGCCACCAACAATGTCCGCCTATGAAAGTGGGTGGAGTGGGTAGTTTTTTCCTCTTGCAGGATTATACTCTGTAGGATTGACACCTCAAGGATGAGAATCAAACAAGTGATATTCAGTATTACAAGTCAGCATTTCAAGACATTAACTGACAAACTTATCATGACTTCCCTGAAAATTAGGATCCTTGTAGGGCCAACATTCTGATTAATAATCCCTTTGAAAGATACAAAATCATGCACACTTGATTATCATGAAATAAGAAACCTGATCGAGTTGTTCACTGAAGTCAGTCATGCAACATGCAAACCTTATCTGAAGTTGGGATATCACTTGAGACAGAATTGTATGTCTGAAACACAGAGCTATCAAACAGTTGGTCGTTGTTCGACTTCTTGTTTGTGTGAAGTCTTTCTTTGTCAGTAATAAAAACCAAAACAGAGAAACTGAATACATATTATTGCACTGCTTCTTCAATCAGAATTAACAATACAGCGATTTATATAAAAAAAAATTTTACCTCTAAACAGCCGCAAATTTCACAACAGCTGAAAACTGTGAATCTGTGACATCAAATTCAACAAATAAACTGCTTTATATATTTTGATTTTGTTTCTATGTTGCGTTACCTGTCAGATGGGCCACAAAAGACTTTTCCCCATTTTAGTGGACCATGGGTGTTAAAAGTTGTGAAAAATTGCTTTCAAGTGTATGTTTATATTCTGTTTTTTTTTTTGTGGTTTGTTATTCCTGAACAATTTTGTTTCTGTCAGAAACCGTGCTGTGGCCAGATTTCAAGAGTGGTTCCGAGTTCACCAGCCAAACCTTTTATGATGTCAAAACTGCAATTCCATTCCCTTACTTTGAAAGTGCATCCAGAGAATTGTTTGTAGGTTTGATGTTATGCTGTCTTTCATTGTTAATGTCACTGTCGTGCTGTCTCACAGTATATATTGTCAACCCCACGAGTGTCCCGAGTGCTATGATGTTGATTCCTAATTCAGCATTCAACATCCCCATGACTTTGCATTCTTTTTCTTTACCTGTTTTTTTATCACTAACCTGATCTATTTATGGCCCTTACCGGTCTGTGTTGTGTACTTGTATGACGTTTTTTTGTCTCTCTGTGTTTTGTGTCTATCTTGTCTCTTTATTTTTCCTTTATTGCTTTGTCTTGTAATTTCTTGTCTCTGAGGGCACTGTCTCTCCGTTCTGTCTGCATTGACTATGTTTTAGCTTATGTTTCTTGCCTTGTTTCTGTACTCAGTCTCCCCCTGTATTTTCTCTGCTTTGTCTGCTGCTAACTACTTGACCTAGTTGTGTCTTGTCCTGTCTCACATTACTTGACCTAATTGTGTCTTGTCCTGTCTCCCATTACTTGACCTAGTTGTGTCTTGTCCTGTCTCACATTATTTGACCTAGTTGTGTCTTGTCCTGTCTCACATTATGTGACCTATTTGTGTCTTGTCCTGTCTCCCATTACTTGACCTAGTTGTGTTTTGTCCTGTCTCACGTTGCTTGACCTAGTTTTGTCTTGTCCTGTCTCACATTACTTGACCTAGTTGTGTCTTGTCCTGTCTCCCATTACTTGACCTAGTTGTGTCTTGTCCTGTCTCACAATACTTGACCTAGTTGTGTCTTGTCCTGTCTCCCATTACTTGACCTAGTTGTGTCTTGTCCTGTCTCACGTTGCTTGACCTAGTTTTGTCTTGTCCTGTCTCACATTACTTGACCTAGTTGTGTCTTGTCCTGTCTCCCATTACTTGACCTAGTTGTGTCTTGTCCTGTCTCCCATTACTTGACCTAGTTGTGTCTTTTCCTGTCTCCCATTACTTGACCTAGTTGTGTCTTGTCCTATCTCACAATTTTTTGACCTAGTTGTGTCTTGTCCTGTCTCACATTGTTTGATTTCTTCAACTTGTTCTGTAGTCATTGTATCTTCTTCTTAACATTCACCGGCTGTAAACACTGGCTGTAAACACCGGCTGTAAACACTGACTGTAAAGACCAGCAGAAAGTTCTGGTCATTCCTCCACTCTGAGGCTTTGATAGTGTTTCAGACATTGAGTTTTGCTTGCACATCCGTTTACAGATCAGGCTTATTAGTGTGCAGAGTGTTGGTTCCTCGCTTATCAATCACTCCAACTTCAAATTAAATGTTTAATTAATGGACTCTGCAACATTCTTGTTAGGGAGGCAGGCCCATAAGCCCCAGAACCCATATGGGGCCATTTGTTTTATAGTCTGTTTCATTTGTAAATCCAAGTTTTTAATTTTACAGCTGAGTCTTGACTTGTCATTCACCACCATGCTTGGTTTAACATTCTATTGTTGAATTTTAATTTTGATTTTTCCTATCTTTGCCCTTGTCTTAGTTTGGCCTTTCTTCACTGATGTGTCTGATATTGTCTTCCTTTTTACTATCTTTTGCGGTCATCTTGTTTTGCATTGTCAGAAGTCAGTAATGCATGACTGCTGATTACACAGGCATATGCACATTGAAACACACAGGAACTCAAACATACATAAGTGTATGTACATGCTCAAACGCACACACACACTAAAATATACATATATGCACTCACACTTTTTAATTCAGCCATACACACATAAACACACACTCCTGCATGCCCGTGTTTGGACACACACACACAGCCACACACACACACACACATATATACACACTCACACCTCTGAAGAGGATGAAAAAAGGATTGGATAAAAAGAAGACAAGGTATAATTGATACAGACAAACAGAACAACGAAGTATAAAAGGGCTTCAGTGAAAATCTTAAAAGTGTGATAGAAAATACAATAACCTCGCCACTGTTGTGTAAACAGTCAATACTGTTGGTAAGGATGTCAAAGTGAAAGCACATGACATCATAGGGCAGATGAACATGAATTATGTCATAACGTCAGTTTTAAAATGACAGCCCATTTTTTATTTTGTATTACAGGCACCAAAGAGGAGCAATGTTCTGTTATCCATTAAGGGGGGTAACCTGTAGACATTCATTAGCAGGTCCTCTATAGTGATGTATGCCTCTCAGTTCAGCAAGTGTATGAGTGGAGTCAGCATCATTGGCACCTTTCCGTCTTTTTCCAGACGATAGTGTTATATTGTGCTATGAGGAGGCATGAGACTCACAGCCCATGGCGATGGCGAGTGTGACTAGCAAAACCCGCTCGTGTCAAGAAAAGTCTTCCTCAATGATAGCATGGGATTTCAGGACCATTGTTAACAACATTTATGTTTAATCCGGTTTTTTTTTCAGAAGCTCAGCTCTCATCCTTTCTGCAGTCATTTCTTCCTTCAGTCTCATTCCCTTCCTGATATGCCCTTTCCACACAACACGGTCCATGGCATTTTGTTCCCATGAGTCCACCTCAGTACCTGTGTCATTCATGTCCCGCTTGCACACATCTTTAAAACGTAGTAGAGGTCAGCCTCGACATCTTCTTCCTGTCTTTAATTCACCATAAAGGATGTCCTTAGGGACTCTGCCATCCTCCAATCGCCAGGTGTGACCCAGCCACCCGAGCCTTCGTAGACTGAGCATGGAAGAAACTTGTATTATAACTTCTCATGTTATTTTGCAAATTGCAATGAGTGGAGTAGGATGTTTGAAAATGGCTTGACTTTTGGGACAGACTATTCACAACCTGGTCATGCATACTGAGTACTGACTCAGAGTCGATGCAGCTGTTTTGAAACTTGCCGCTTATAGAGAAGAAGAAAGTGAGAAAATTATAAAGCATGTGTAGAAAACAAGAATGAAGAAGATGATACACTGGATATTTTTAAACAATAACAATTTATGTTTGGTGTTGTGTCTTTTCAGGTGTATAGATACGGATATGTGGCCTTCGGTGGAAATATTCTCAGCTCCAATGCTCCCCATGTGCCATCACAATGGCCATTTTCTACAAAACTTTTTGGAGTTTACTGGGCAGATATCGCAGCCACAGACAACTCCAACAATCCATCAAACTTTTACTTTTCACTGGTGAGAGACAACCTGGAATGTTTGTTGCTTACTTGTTCTGAATGTTGCCATTTAAGACTTTAATAAGCCTGTCACTGGGAGGAAAGGTGTTGCAGTAGCAAAAGGTGTCGCAGAGAAACAAGGTGTCATAATGGCTGTATTACTTGCTGTGCTGGCCTGAAAGTAATAGGTTTGAATCTCTATCAAAGTGGAATGTTTTAATCAAATCTGCATCCTGGAATTACTTGACCTAAAATGGCTGCCAGAAAATGATCTGAACAGTAAAACAGACCACCTATCGTTGAGTGCTGCTTGGCCAGACAAATCTAGTGCTTGCATTATTAGCTTGGCAACCACAAAGTGTCACAATGGATTCTTTGTTTTATTTTATTGAGTAAATTTGTCATATTTTCATCTTGAGGTTAAAAAAAAGACCACAGGACAGGTCTGTCTGACTCATTGTGCAGTCTACCCTTTTATACAAGACACTGAAGATGTGTTGGGTATGAAAGCACACAGGGCTGAGGAATTGGCAAGAGACAGAAAGACTTCTTGCTGTGATGAGAACATCTGTACATGACCTAATGCTTTTGTGCAATACCTCAGCACTGTTGTTTGTTTCTTTTCCATAAACCTGCTTAAAAATGTACTGCTCAGTCATCAGTCTCTACATCTCTTCTGTTGATATGCCTAATAAATTTAATGTCTTCTTTCCATACAGTTCTTTGTTAAATCTGGTAATAAATGCTTTTGTCAATACCTCAGCATTTGTTGTTTTGTCCATAAAACTCTTAAAAATCTGCTCAGTAATCAGTCTCTAATTTCTTTGCCATTTAGTTACTCACTGTTCAACCCTTGTATCTATATAGAAGATCTAGCCTCATTGTATTTCTGTTTTTGATGATGTTGGTCATTCTCATAAAATAATCTTTAGCTATGGCAACTATAATCTTTGCCCCTGTATCAAATCTTCTCCCACATATCACATATTCTCTCAATCACATCATTTCTCAGATATCACATCTCTTATCAGATATCAGATCTTCTCTCAGATGTCACATCTCTTATCAGATATCATATCTTCTCTCAGATATCACATCTCTTCTCAGATATCATATCCTCACGAAGGTATCACATTTTCTGTCTAAAAATCACATCATCTCTCTGAAATACATCTTCTCCTGAAGTCTTCTATCAATTATCACAGTTTCTCTAAGACATCACATAACTTCTCATTTTATTTTGCAAATTACAAAAAATATTAAACCTTTGTGATTGTCAGAAGTGGCACCATTTTTGTCTTAATAGAACAATCGCACTTCTGGTGGTGTGCATCATATATTAGCTGATGCCTGTGAACTCTCTTCAACAGGATGAAGGGCGACTCCGGAACGTCACCTACAGCAGCTCACTGATCGAGTATGTGAAAGGTACCATCAAAAACCCAGACTTTGAGCCTCTGTCGGTTGTAGCAGCGACTTGGGTGAATGCTGTGCCAAAACCTGCAAACGATTTTCCAAAAGATGTAACTATGCTTGTGTTCTGTTAAGTTTTGTTTTTAATTTTGTATATTAGAGATGATCACAACTGAACAAAAACAGTGATAACCCTGCCTACTTTGGTCTAGTCTGAGGGTTTTAATCATACACTGTTTTGGTAGCAAAGTAATTGAGTGCTGAACTCACAGCACTCCATAAACGCTCCACACACATCCTCAACAGCCAGCTCAGAGTTCCAGTCTTAACCTCACAGCACTCCATAAACACTCGACACTCTTCATCAGACAGCGCAGAGTTCCAGCTGTGACCTCACAGTGCCCCATAAGAACTCCGCACCCAACTACATCAGCCAGCGCAGAGTTCCAGCTGACCCCAATGCTTCATAAGAACTCCATACCCAACAACATCAGACAGCGCAGAGTTCTAGCTCTGACCTCACTTTGCCCCATAAGAACTCTGCACCCAACTACATCATCCAGAACATAGTTCTAGCTCTGACCCCACAGTACGCCATAACTCCACACCCAGTAGTTCTAGTACTTTTAGTACTTTAAAAAAAAAAAAAAAATTTTTATATTTTTAGGTAGTGTATCGTCAGAGCTACTATAAAAACCACTTGTTTCTGATAACCTCACAGTGCCCCATAAGAACTCCGCACCCAACTACATCAGCCAGCGCAGAGTTCCAGCTGACCCCAATGCTTCATAAGAACTCCATACCCAACAACATCAGACAGCGCAGAGTTCTAGCTCTGACCTCACTTTGCCCCATAAGAACTCTGCACCCAACTACATCATCCAGAACATAGTTCTAGCTCTGACCCCACAGTACGCCATAACTCCACACCCAGTAGTTCTAGTACTTTTAGTACTTTAAAAAAAAAAAAAAAAATTTTTATATTTTTAGGTAGTGTATCGTCAGAGCTACTATAAAAACCACTTGTTTCTGATAACCTCACAGTGCCCCATAAGAACTCCGCACCCAACTACATCAGCCAGCGCAGAGTTCCAGCTGACCCCAATGCTTCATAAGAACTCCATACCCAACTCCATCAGACAGCGCAGAGTTCTAGCTCTGACCTCACTTTGCCCCATAAGAACTCTGCACCCAACTACATCATCCAGAACATAGTTCTAGCTCTGACCCCACAGTACGCCATAACTCCACACCCAGTAGTTCTAGTACTTTTAGTACTTTAAAAAAAAAAAAAATTTTTATATTTTTAGGTAGTGTATCGTCAGAGCTACTATAAAAACCACTTGTTTCTGATAACCTCACAGTGCCCCATAAGAACTCCGCACCCAACTACATCAGCCAGCGCAGAGTTCCAGCTGACCCCAATGCTTCATAAGAACTCCATACCCAACTCCATCAGACAGCGCAGAGTTCTAGCTCTGACCTCACAGTACTATTTAAGAACTCCGCACCCAACTCCATCAGCCAGAACATAGTTCTAGCTCTGACCTCACAGTACGCCATAAGAACTCCATACCCAGTAGTTCTAGTACTTTTAGTACCTTTAAAAAAAAATTTTTAAATTTATATTTTTAGGCAGTGTATCATCAGAGCTACTATAAAAACCACTTGTTTCTGATAACCAGTACTTTTTACTAGATACTTTATGGTGAGTGTAGAGAACGGCTCTTCAGCTAAGTTTTGTCAGGAGCCAGAGTGTTGAAAAGTAGGGATACTCATGGGCCAGAAGCCCAAGCCCCAGCATGCAAAGATTCATAACACAGTACAACTGGCAATGATCCGCAGGCCATTATTTAAGTCTCTATGGGCCATTTTCGGCCAACGGGCTGCCATTTGAATAGCCCTGGTGTTGAATGTTGGCAAGATTTCCCGATCACTCTTAGCTGTATAAATAAATACAATAAAATAACTGTAATTATGTTACCTGTGTATAGCCAACTTATCATGTGTAACTACTTCCACCAAAGACAAACTGCAAATTTGGTGGTGACTGTTGGATTTAGCATCTCTAGCAGCTGCCATATGCATTTACTATGTGGGCATATTTCTGGATTGTGTTGGCAAAAATTGTTTATTGACCAGTTTTTGAGGTGAGGGACATTTCATTTGATTTTCACTGGCACATGAACGGAGCAAGTATGGGGTGACCCAGTTGCATTGAAGTTGAAATCTTGACTACAACTGTGACTAGGAAGCTGTACAATTCTCAATAAACTCTGATGATTATTTTATGTTTCTGCATTATTCACTTCCTCCTTAAAAGCCTAGACCATGTAGCAGTGTAGACACCTAGACCATGTAGCAGTGTTGACACCTAGACCATGTAGCAGTGTAGACACCTAGACCATGTAGCAGTGTAGACAGCCAGACCATGTAACAGTGTAGACACCTAGACCATGTAGCAGTGTTGACACCTAGACCATGTAGCAGTGTAGACACCTAGACCATGTAGCAGTGTAGACACCTAGACCATGTAGCAGTGTAGACACCTAGACCATGTAGCAGTGTAGACACCTAGACCATGTAGCAGTGTTGACACCTAGACCATGTAGCAGTGTAGACACCTAGACATGTAGCAGTGTAGACACCTAGACCATGACCCACCTAGACCAGTGTAGACACCTAGACCATGTAGCAGTGTAGACACCTAGACCATGTAGCAGTGTAGACACCTAGACCATGTAGCAGTGTAGACACCTAGACCATGTAGCAGTGTAGACACCTAGACCATGTAGCAGTGTAGACACCTAGACCATGTAGCAGTGTAGACACCTAGACCTTGTAGCAGTGTAGACACCTAGACCATGTAGCAGTGTAGACACCCAGACCATGTAGCAGTGTAGACACCTAGACCATGTAGCAGTGTAGACACCTAGACCATGTAGCAGTGTAGACACCTAGACCATGTAGCAGTGTAGACACCTAGACCATGTAGCAGTGTAGACACCTAGACCATGTAGCAGTGTAGACACCTAGACCATGTAGCAGTGTAGACCTACCAGTAGACCATGTAGCAGTGTAGACACCTAGACCAGTGTAGCTAGACCAGTAGCAGTAGACACCTAGACCATGTAGCAGTGTAGACACCTAGACCATGTAGCAGTGTAGACACCTAGACCATGTAGCAGTGTAGACACCTAGACCATGTAGCAGTGTAGACACCTAGACCATGTAGCAGTGTAGACACCTAGACCATGTAGCAGTGTAGACACCTAGACCATGTAGCAGTGTAGACACCTAGACCCAGTAGCAGTGTAGACACCTAGACCATGTAGCAGTGTAGACACCTAGACCATGTAGCAGTGTAGACACCTACACCATGTAGCAGTGTAGACACCTACACCATGTAGCAGTGTAGACCATGTAACAGTGTAGACCATGTAGCAGTGTAGACACCTAGACCTAGCAGTGTTACCTAGACCATGTAGCAGTGTAGACACCTAGACCATGTAGCAGTGTAGACACCTAGACCATGTAGCAGTGTAGACACCTAGACCATGTAGCAGTGTAGACACCTAGACCATGTAGCAGTGTAGACACCTAGAGTAGCAGTGTAGACCATGTAGCAGTGTAGACACCTAGACCATGTAGCAGTGTAGACACCTAGACCATGTAGCAGTGTAGACACCTAGACCATGTAGCAGTGTAGACACCTAGACCATGTAGCAGTGTAGACACCTAGACCATGTAACAGTGTAGACACCTAGACCATGTAGCAGTGTAGACACCTAGACCATGTAGCAGTGTAGACACCTAGACCATGTAGCAGTGTAGACACCTAGACCATGTAGCAGTGTAGACACCTAGACCATGTAGCAGTGTAGACACCTAGACCAGACAGTGTAGACCTAGACCATGTAGCAGTGTGAGAACCTAGACCATGTAGCAGTGTAGACACCATGTAGACCATGTAGCAGTGTAGACACCTAGACCATGTAGCAGTGTAGACACCTAGACCATGTAGCAGTGTAGACACCTAGACCATGTAGCAGTGTAGACACCTAGACCATGTAGCAGTGTAGACACCCAGACCATGTAGCAGTGTAGACACCTAGACCATGTAGCAGTGTAGACACCTAGACCATGTAGCAGTGTAGACACCCAGACCATGTAGCAGTGTAGACACCTAGACCATGTAGCAGTGTAGACAATTAGACCATGTAGCAGTGTAGACACCTAGACCATGTAGCAGGTAGCAGACCATGTAGCAGTGTAGACACCTAGACCATGTAGCAGTAGCATGTAGCAGTGTAGACACCTAGACCATGTAGCAGTGTAGACACCTAGACCATGTAGCAGTGTAGACACCTAGACCATGTAGCAGTGTAGACACCCAGACCATGTAGCAGTGTAGACACCTAGACCATGTAGCAGTGTAGACACCTAGACCATGTAGCAGTGTAGACACCTAGACCATGTAGCAGTGTAGACACCCAGACCATGTAGCAGTGTAGACACCTAGACCATGTACACCATGTAGCAGTGTAGACACCTATGTAAGCATGTAGCAGTGTAGTAGACACCCAGACCCATGTAGCAGTGTAGACACCTAGACCATGTAGCAGTGTAGACACCTAGACCATGTAGCAGTGTAGACACCTAGACCATGTAGCAGTGTAGACACCTAGACCATGTAGCAGTGTAGACACCTAGACCATGTAGCAGTGTAGACACCTAGACCATGTAGCAGTGTAGACACCTAGACCATGTAGCAGTGTAGACACCTAGACCATGTAGCAGTGTAGACACCTAGACCATGTAGCAGTGTAGACACCCAGACCATGTAGCAGTGTAGACACCCAGACCATTTAGCAGTGTAGACACCCAGACCATGTAGCAGTGTAGACACAGATGGGAGAACAGAAGTGAGGTAAATTACGAATACACAAAGCAAGAGAAGTTTTCATAGAACTCGAAAATCTATGGAAGTCAAAGGAAATGAAACCTGGAACCAAACTTAAATGTAGTTAGCTGTGTACTGCTGTACAGATCAGAAACAGATCTGGCACTTACAGGTCTTACATGATAGTTACCTCCACCTGAACCAGATAACATCAGCTCTGAACATATATCACAAAAACAACAGTTATTGATGGCAGACATGTTTCCCTAAATAGCTCTGTAAAGGTAAATTAACGGTAAAGTCCGGAGATGTGAACCAGCATCATTGCACACGGTTATGAACCATAAGTTCTCTGCTGCCAGTACGGACAGCTGATAAGAAACATCCGCCTATGTCACCATCCGTGCGAAACACCGTAGCTTCAGCGACGTTTCTCCATTTACCCCAGAGTGTTAACTCTGGTACCCATTCCCTTGAGGTTGGGTGAATCCAAGGAGCACTATGGTTTCGAACACCAGCCGTGGGCTGCAGCGAGTCGCAGCTGGATTTAAAAGCGAGTCTCCTATCGACTGTGCTAACGCATTGGTGGAGTTTAGTGGAGGCTAGTAGCTCAGGCTCTGATAAGCTAGTAACCTTGACTTTGATTGGTTTTTTAAAAAAAAGATGACTTCCATTGCGCACAAATATTTCTAAAAGTCTCCAGACACCATTTGAAAATGTGGGCTCAAGACTTCCAGAGTATTAAGTAAACATTTTGATCCCTTTCTCATAGAGATCCCAATGTCAACACTTTGTCACAAAGATCCCTTTAACCAGATTTTTCCTATGTTCAGATCTGGTAAACACATCAGTGTTGTTTTCTTTTGATGCAAAGTGCTCTAAACATATCCAAACTTCAGATTTCTCCATTTTATGTTGTCCCAGAAAGCAACATTCCAAGTGATCCTTGCCACTGATGGTCACGTGACCTACGCTGTCACTGGCTATCGGACAGTCTGGGAAAATACCAATGTTTACAACCGACCTTTAGTTCAGACAGTACACTCTCTGACAAATGGGGTCCAGTCAGTGGAAACTCAGCCAGGTAAGCTTTATTTGTACACATAATTTATCAGTACAAAATCACAAGCACTGAGGTACTGAAAAGAGCAGGTAGGTACTACAACAGTCTTTTCCATGCTCATTCTATGAAGGCTCAGGTGGCTGGGTCACACCTGGAGAATGGAGGATGGCAGAGTCCCTAAGGACATCCTTTATGGGGAATCGAAAACAGGAAAAAGATGTCGAGGCCATCCTCTACTACATTATAAAGATGTATGCAAGTGAGACATGAATGATACAGATATTGAGGCGGACTCATGGGAACAAGATGCCATGGACTGTGTTGTGTGGAAAGGGCATATCAGGGAGGAAATGAGACTGAAGAAAGAAATGATTGCAGAAAGGATGAGAGCTGAGCATCTGAAAAGAAACGGATTAAACACAAATGTTGTTAACAATAGTCCTGAAATCCCATGCTATCATTGTGGAAGACTTTTCTTGACACAGGCGGGTCTTGCTAGTAACACTCGCCATCGCCATGGGTTGTGAGTCTCATGCCTCCTCATGTGATCATGTATTATGTTGTATGCTGAACCATGTGAGCACCCTATTGCAGCTGATACGGAGTCCACCGTTACTCACCTGTCACTTCTAATCATCTCCTCCATCCACTGCATGGATACATCTGTTGCAATTTTAACAGGATGACCTTATCAGACCTTTTTTTTTTATGTTTTTACCGAGATATGCACCGCTTTATGGGATAAACATTTGTCAGCATAGACAGAAAGCATTTCCTTATGAATACCCTTTGCAGAGAGCCCTCCCGACACCCCCCCCCCCTTTTTCCCCCTCAGAAAACTCTTAAAATAGCACGTTGTTCTTTGGAGGTACTCTCCATAAGTAGAGTCACCCTTTTGTTTCTGTGTTGCGAATGCACTTGCAACACCTAACCAATGGAAACATAAAGTTCAATGTTGCTGTCACCTAGTGACACCTTCAGAAACCACCAACTACATTTTGCTGCCATACCATAACTATTGAGTTTCCCTGGTAATTTGGTTCACAGAGCCTTTTCTTTGGCAGAACTCTTTAGGACTTGTGTACCCTTCAATGATTCTGAGTTTTGTTTTATAACCTTTCTTCATTTATTCATCTCATTATATGTCACATAGGGCTTGCAATCTTTTCCTCCATTCAATTCTATCCTGTGCCGTGACTTCCATGTCATAGATGGAATCCATTCCAGCAGCCTTGACTTCTCTCATCATCATTCGCCTCAGGGTTTCTTAGGATGTCATAGTTACTGAAGTTTTGTTTGATTTTTATTTATTTACCTGAGGCGGCCGTGGAGCCCCTCGCGTGTGTATGGGAAGTCTTAAGGGTTCCATGAAGTATAAAATGGAAACTAGTTATCTATTCTGAATAATGGAAACTGCTGATCTAGGCTAAACAGTGTGAACTGCTGATCTAGGCTAAACAGTGGGAACTGCTGATCTAGGCTAAATAATGGAAACTGCTGAACTAGGCTCTGATCTAGGCTAAAAACGTTGGAACTGCTCATCTAGACTAAACAATTGGAACTGGTGATCTAGGATAAACAATGGAAACTGCTGATCCAGGCTAAATGTTGGGAACTGTTCATCTAGGCTAAACAATGGGAACTGGTGATCTAGACTAAATAGTGAGAACATTAGAACACTGGAAACCAGCTTAGTCCAGAATTATGCAGTCAAAAGGATATGCTCTTCGCTTTGCATTTACTCTGGCGAAACAGGCTAAACAGCGCGAACTACTGAGCTAGGCTAAACAGCGTGAACTACTGAGCTAGGCTAAACAGCGTGAACTACTGAGCTAGGCTAAACAGCGCGAACTACTGAGCTAGGCTAAACAGCGTGAACTACTGAGCTGGGCTAAACAGCGTGAACTACTGAGCTAGGCTAAACAGCGTGAAATACTGAGCTAGGCTAAACAGTGGGAACTACTGATTTAGGCTAAACAATGGGAACTGGTGATCTAGGCTAAACAATGGGAACAGGTGATCTAGAATAAACAATGGAAACTGCTGATCTAGGCTAAACGTTGGGAACTGCTCATCTAGACTAAACAATTGGAACTGGTGATCTAGGATAAACAATGGGAACAGGTGATCTAGAATAAACAATGGAAACTGCTGATCTAGGCTAAACGTTGGGAACTGCTCATCTAGACTAAACAATTGGAACTGGTGATCTAGGATAAACAATGGAAACTGCTGATCCAGGCTAAATGTTGGGAACTGTTCATCTAGGCTAAACAATGGGAACTGGTGATCTAGACTAAATAGTGAGAACATTAGAACACTGGAAACCAGCTTAGTCCAGAATTATGCAGTCAAAAGGATATGCTCTTCGCTTTGCATTTACTCTGGCGAAATAGTTTTTGAATGTAATCGATTCTTTGTTTCATATCAATGGATTCATTTATTTGCTTCATTTTAATTAATTTTTACTGAAGTATGCACCTGACCATAATACAGTAAAATATTCCTAGCAATAAATTGTGAAATCTATCATTAGCATCTTCTTTGTTCAAAATATATTATATTTCAACATTCCTTAGAAAATATGTTATATTTTTAATAAATATTAATTTTTTTCATACTTGAAAGAAAGGTTGTTGTTTTTATACAGAAAGCGGTACTGGACCGGTAGTGGTGAAGCTGGTAGCAGAAGACAAGTACTCAGATCCCAGATCTTATGAGTGTGTCCAGAAGACTCAAGATGCAAGAGCTCGTTATACGGAAGATCTTCGGTCCTTGCCACCATGTCCTTGTTATCAGGCTCAGGTGGGAATATTTGGTGTGGTGTGTTTATTATTGTGTTCTGAGTTTGTTATTGTTTTATGTGTTTGTTATCATGTTCTGAGTTTGTTATTGTTTTATGTGTTTATTAATGTGTTCTGAGTTTGTTATTGTTTTATGTGTTTGTTATTGTGTTCTGAGTTTGTTATTGTTTTATGTGTTTATTAATGTGTTCTGAGTTTGTTATTGTTTTATGTGTTTTTTATTGTGCTCTGAGTTTGTTATTGTTTGATGTGTTTGTTATTTTGTTCTGAGTTTGTTATTGTTTTATGTGTTTGTTATTGTGCTCTGAGTTTGTTATTGTGTTATGTGTTTGTTATTGTCTTGTGTTTCTGTAGGATTTCCAGTAGTTTCTTCTTCTGCACTTGCTCTAAAAAATGTTATTTGTCTGTTGTGTTTTAGTTTACAGCTAGACTGTGTGAACTGCACTTGTTTTGCCCAGCAAATCTAACTCCCACAAGTCCTTAGTTAACCCTTTTTTTCAGCTTGATTATCAAGGGTGGGGGGGGGGGTGAGGGAGCCACGGCTTCCCTATTGGGCATGTCATAAGAAGCATCTCACTGTGGTAAGGAACCAACAGTCTCTGTAGAAATTAGCAGATCCGTCAAATAAATGTGCACACAAAATTTAAGTTTTAGAATAAAACTAAAGTGGATGAACAACCAGAACTTTCCCCCAGAGTTTACACACAGTGAAAACAAAGAAGAAGAAGACAACATACCTGTTAAGAAGTTGCGGGTGTTTGGCTAAAAAAATTGATCCTTGAGACCCAGATGGGGAACTCTAGTAAGTAAATAGTCAACAAGCATAGTGTGGTCTAGTGGTCATGTTTTCAATGAATTTGAAGACAAGCATTTCAACTTCAACCTTCACTTTCAAATTGGCCCTTTCTAAAATGGTACAGGACATTTCATAGGTAGTAAAGGCAGCCATATCATGTTGGCGACGTTAACAAGAAGTGAGCAGAGACATGTGGGTGATTTGCAACATTCGGTCGAGTCGCAATGTTCATCAGTCATCTATGATTGTGATATTGTTAAGCTGGCTATTTCTCCTTCCTGATAACTCTTCAGGGAAAAAGACAGGATTGCTTTTATTAAGGATTCAACTGGCATCATCAGTCAAACCACTCTTCATTAACTACTGGGAAAAGAGACAGAGCACGTGTGGTAGTATCTCTAGTGCAGTGATAATAATTCATTCATTCATTCACTTACTTGTTAATTCATTATGTGACAACAGAAATATCATTGAAAGTCAGGTATTTTTTTTTTCAGGCTGCAAATGATGAAAGATTTGAAGTGTCCAGTTCTTCTGCTCGCTGTTACCACAGTGCAATCCCATCTCCAGGAAACAGACTGAAGCAGCTGTGTTGCTTTGATGAGTGCGTACAGCTGTCTGTTTCTGTTGTTAGTTCTAAAATTTAAAAGTTTTTTTTTTAAAGTTATTGATGTTTTATAATGATGTTCTAAAGTTGTGGATACTGTATAATGATGTTCTATAGTTGTGGATGTTGTATAATGGTGTTCTAAAGTTGTGGATGTTGTATAATGATGTTCTAAAGTTGAGAATGTTGTATAATGATGTTCTAAAGTTGGGGATGTTGTATAATGATGTTCCAGAGTCGGAATGTTGTGTAATGATGATTTAAATGTGGGAATGTACCAGCCCAAGACATAGGGATTTATTGTACAATGACGTTCTAAAGTTGGGAATGTTGTAGAATAATTTTCTAAAGTTGACTCCTGATTAATATCATCAAATGTTGTGCACGCTTGGTCATGGACTGCCTCTTAGTTATTACCATCACTTTTGTCTTCCAATTATTCAAGCTCAAGTGCTTCTTTCACTTTCTATCACCACTGCATAATCACTGTTTTTAGTTTTGTGTCTGATTAGTTGTTACTGGCACAATATTAGTTATCTCAGTATATTTTCTTATTATGTGCCAAGTTTGGGACCGTTAGTGTTGGCACTTCTCACAGCTGCCTTATCCAGTTTTACTTTGTGTGTGCAACATTCAAAACTTTGTATTTTCTAGTTTTCAAATGGGACAGCAGTGGACATTTTGTGTGGTTTCCAATGGCAGGGGAATGGAGCAGCAGACATGGGACGACCCATCTGCAGTGATATTGGAAGCCTGACTCACTAACTTATGCTGCTTATTACATGATAATAAATCACGGGCTATACACATCCAAGTATTTAAATAATACGTTTAATTCTGGATGTTTGCAGAACATCTTGCTTTGGTTTCAACAGTTGTATCCAGTCCTGATTAGCTTATAAAGCAGTGGCAAACTACACAGGGGCCGCGTGAGCGCAGTCGATAAGAAGCTAGCTTTCAAATCCAGCTGCGCCTCGCTGCAGCCCACGGTCGGTGTTCGAAACTGGGCGGCTCCCGAGGTTTACCCAGCCTCTACAAAATGGGTACCAGAATGATACTCTAGGGTAAATGGAGAAACACCGCTGTAGCTACATTTGAGTTAAGTGCAAATGGTGACACAGGCGGACAATTCTTATCAGCTGTCCGTACTGGTGGCAGAGCGCTTATGGTTTATAACCATGTGCAGTGACGCTGGTTCACATCTCCCGACTTTACCTTTATAACTCTACTGAATGTAAACATTCTCAGGTGAAATCACAAACAGCCAAAACTTGCTGGGGCGGGTTCTGCAACATCCTGTAAAGGGACATAAGTAACTTTGTTACCTGGTGACCTGAAGGTCTTGGGGATTTATAGTTGGCCTGGCTCCTAGAACAACCCAGTCTGAAACTGTCTAGAGAAGTAAAGGTGGCCACCATGTTTAAGGTTGACCTGGCTCTCAGACCAATCTAGCCTGAAACTGTCCAGGAAAGTAAAAAGTGGCCTGTAGGATGTTAATCACGTCACCCAAGGAAAGCCAGCTGGTCTTTGCAAAATGAACACCTAGCACAATAGGTCCACTGGTGGGAAAACTGGTCTTTTGCTCTTTTTTTTTAAATTGATTGATTTTAATTGAAAGAAATTTGTTGACTGACAAAACAGTATTTTCTCCAACAGCTATGGGCTTTTATTCAATGATACATTACCAACACCGGCTGATGATACAGAAGTTGGCTTGGAGGCTGCCAGGAGTGAGTGTTGCACTGAAGTACTGGGGTATGTGGCTGGTTCAGCACACAGATTTCCACACCCGGCTGTGGGGAATATGTTCCTCCCTTTGTTGGTGAGTTTCTATGGTTAGGCTAGTTAGTGTGAATGTCAGTATTTTCACTCGTACCATCTTAGGGTGAACTTCACTATTTTCACCCAACTGATCTTTGAGTGAACATCATCATTTTATCTAAATCATCAGTAACAACTGGCATTGTACCAGGAGCAGTTGGTGGAGTGATATGAATGATAGGCTTTCATTCAGGCGACCTGGTTTCAGATCCCTCAGAAAGGGGATGAGTTTTTCCTGTCAGGGGTTAAAACAAAAGTGGGCTATTTTCCGAATAACTGGCACAAAAGATGGCGGCCAAAAACATGGCCTCAGTCACGTAAGTGCGCAATTGAACGCGACTGAGGCTCTGTTAGGATGTTTTTGCGGCCGCCATCATTTGTGCCCGTTATTCGGAGGATAGCCTAAAAGTCTAACCTGAACAGTGCGTGGTGACTGTGCTAGCAATACAGCCCTAAATCATCAGACTCAGTACACCCCCCCCCCCCCCCTCCCTTTTCCCCTTTTTTAAAAATGTGTCCCCAATAATACATCAGATTTAAAAAGTGCTGTGTACTTTGAAAAGCCAAACAATTTCTTGAATCCTTGAAAAATGTTTTACAGAAGAATCGGTAGAATTTCTTGGTCAGCCTAAATGATAATTCCAGATGTTTTGAAAAAGGTAAGGACTCAATTTGTCACAAACATCAGAAAGAGAGTCGTCATTATTTGTCACAAACATTAGAAAGAGACAGTCATCATTATTTGTCACAAACATCAGAAAGAGACCGTCATCATTACTTATCATAAACATCAGAAAGATACTGTCATCATTACTTGTCATAAACATCAGAAAGAGACAGTCATCATTACTTATCACAAACATCAGAAAGAGACAGTCATCATTATTTGTCACAAACATCAGAAAGAGACAGTCGTTATTACTTGTCACAAACATCAGAAAGAGACTGTCGCCATTATTTGTCACAAACATCAGAAAGAGACAGTCGTCATTATTTGTCACAAACATCAGAAAGAGACAGTCATCATTATTTGTCACAAACATCAGAAAGAGACAGTCGTCATTATCTGTCACAAACATCAGGAAGAAACTGTCCTCATTATCTGTCACAAACATCAGAAAGAGACAGTCATCATTATCTGTCACAAACATCAGAAAGAGAACGTCATCATTACTTGTCATTGCAAACATCAGAAAGAGACAGTGTTATTACTTGTCACAAACATCAGAAAGAGACTGTTGTCATTATTTGTCACAAACATCAGGAAGAGAACTGTCCTCATTATCTGTCACAAACATCAGAAAGAGACAGTCATCATTATCTGTCACAAACATCAGAAAGAGACAGTCGTCATTATTTGTTCCAAACATCAGAAAGAGACAGTCGTTATTACTTGTCACAAACATCAGAAAGAGACAGTCGTCATTTGTCACAAACATCAGAAAGAGACAGTCGTCATTTGTCACAAACATCAGAAAGAGACAGTCGTCATTTGTCACAAACATCAGAAAGAGACAGTCGTCATTATTTGTCACAAACATCAGAAAGAGACAGTCGTTATTACTTGTCACAAACATCAGAAAGAGACAGTCGTCATTTGTCACAAACATCAGAAAGAGACAGTCGTCATTATTTGTCACAAACATCAGAAAGATACTGTCATCATTACTTATTACAAACATCAGAAAGAGACTGTCATCACTTTTAGACCATGTTATGAGAAGGAGACTGAAACATGCTGTGACCAGTGAAAAAATATGTGGAAAAAAGATAGGAGGAAGACAGCATGAGAAAATTCTTGGCAGCCTTTTATCCTGAAATGATGAGATGCTACATGCTGTTGAAGATCGCAGCCGGGACGTCAAGTGTTAAATTCCCATTATGGCAGATTTTTCATATTAACCTTGTATCCCAGGCTGACCCTCCCTACATGGGTGCTGAGAAATTTCATGGGAAGTAAAGGTGGCCAATTGACTTTGTCACGGATAGTGTGCATTCCAGCCTGTTTAAACAAGTTTGGGTCAGCACCATATACCCATTAAACCACAAGACCTGGAAATGGAACCTTTATATTTACATTACTGTTATTTACTGGATAAGACTTGCATTTAGTTTACTGTTACTTATTATACAGGACTTTAACAGTAACCTAACTATTGTTTATTGGATAAGACTTTCACATTTTGTTTACTGTTACTTATTACACAGGACTTAACATTACTTTCCTGTTACTTATTGGATAAGACTTTTAGGTTTACTTTTCTGTTATCTATTACACACAACTTTTAAATTTTCTTCACTAGTATTTATTACTGAAGATTTTTACATTTGTTTTACTGTTATTTATTACAGAAGACTTACATTTACCTTACTGTTATTTATTGAATGCGACTTTTGCATTTAGTTTACTGTTACTTATTACACAGGACTTTTAAATTGACTTTACTGGTACTTATTGCAAGAACCTTAACATTTACTTTACTGTTATTTATAACACCAGGCTTTTGCATTTACTTTATTGTTTTTTGGTTTTTTTTAACAGAACCTTTAGATTTACTTAACTGTTACTTATTACACAAGACTTTTACATTTACTTTACTGTTACTAATCACACTAGACTTTTACATTTACTTTACTGTTACTAATTACACTAGACTTTTACATTTACTTTACTGTTACTAATCACACTAGACTTTTACATTTACTTTACTGTTACTAATTACACTAGACTTTTACATTTACTTTACTGTTACTAATTACACTAGACTTTTACATTTACTTTACTGTTACTAATTACACTAGACTTTTACATTTACTTTACTGTTACTAATTACACTAGACTTTTACATTTACTTTACTGTTACTAATTACACTAGACTTTTACATTTACTTTACTGTTACTAATTACACTAGACTTTTAGATTTACTTTACTTTTAACTATTTCACAGGTGGGGGGTTCGGAGACCCACACTTTGTGACATTTGATGGAAACAAGTACAGTTATAATGGACTGGGTGATTTCGTGATTTTTAAGTCCGGGTAAGTCAAGTGACATCCAGAGTGTTTGTGTCTGCTTCTCAAATTTGAGCTCAAATAAGAACTGATATTGAGGCACTTGAGACATTTTCATAGGTGCTCTGCCCTCATCTTCAGCAGTCAGCACAGCATTTCAGTTCTGATAGTAAGTATAGCAGTCTGGTTGTATGTCTGCCCAGCCTTGTCCCCAAGTGTTGTATGTCCTGTCCAGGCTTGTCCCAAGTGTTGTATGTCTGTCCAGCCTTGTCCCAAGTGTTGTATGTCTGTCCAGCCTAATCCCCAAGTGTTGAATGTCTGTCCAGCCTTTTCCCAAGTGTTGTATGTTTTTCAAGCCTTGTCCCCAAGTGTTGTATGTCTGTCCAGCCTTGTCCCCAAGTGTTGTATGTCTGTCCAGCCTTGTCCCCAAGTGTTGTATGTCTGTCCAGCCTTGTCCCCAAGTGTTGTATGTCTGTCCAGCCTTGTCCCCAAGTGTTGTATGTCTGTATAGCCTTGTCCCCAAGTGTTGTATGTCTGTCCAGCCTTGTCCCAAGTGTTGTATGTCTGTCCAGCCTTGTCCCCAAATGTTGTATGTCTGTCCAGCCTCGTCCCCAAATGTTGTATGTCTGTCCAGCCTTGTCCCCAAGTGTTGTATGTCTGTCCATCCTTGTCCCCAAGTGTTGTATGTCTGTCCAGCCTTGTCCCCAAGTGTTGTATGTCTGTCCAGCCTTGTCCCCAAGTGTTGTATGTTTGTCCAGCCTTGTCCCCAAGTGTTGTATGTCTGTCCAGCCTTGTTCCAAGTGTTGTATGTCTGTCCAGCCTTGTCCCCAAATGTTGTATGTCTGTCCTGCCTTGTCCCCAAATGTTGTATGTCTGTTCATCCTTGTCCCCAAGTGTTGTATGTCTGTCCAGCCTTGTCCCCAAGTGCTGTATGTCTGTCCAGCCTTGTCCCCAAGTGTTGTATGTCTGTCCAGCCTTGTCCCCAAATGTTGTATGTCTGTCCAGCCTTGTCCCCAAGTGTTGTAGGTTGACCAGATCCCTTGATCACCCCAGGCAGCACAATCTTATCTCCCCACTGTGATAACTGATCTTCTTCAACACTGGGGGTGTAGAGGTATCTTGGTCTTCTGCAGTTCCAATCATTAATCTTTCTATGGTGGCTCCTTGTACGGGATTCAGGACCCTATTTTTTGGAAGAAAGAACCCACTGTCTGTTAACATAAAGTATATAAAGTCCCTAATTATAGTTTGCTGAAAGTGGATTGGTTATGGAAAGACTAAGATATCTCCACATCCCAGGGTAGAAATGGAAAGACTTAAGATACCTCACCATCCCAGGGTAGAAATGGAAAGACTAAGATACCTCACCATCCCAGGGTAGAAATGGAAAGACTAAGATATCCCCACATCCCAGGGTAGAAATGGAAAGACTAGGATCTCTACATCCCAGGATAGAAATGGAAAGACTAAGATGTCTCCACATCCCAGGGTAGAAATGGAAAGACTAAGATATCTCCACATCCCAGGGTAGAAATGGAAAGACTAAGATGTCTCACCATCCCAGGGTAGAAATGGAAAGACTAGGATCTCTACATCCCAGGATAGAAATGGAAAGACTAAGATGTCTCCACATCCCAGGGTAGAAATGGAAAGACTAAGATATCTCCACATCCCAGGGTAGAAATGGAAAGACTTAAGATACCTCACCATCCCAGGGTAGAAATGGAAAGACTAAGATACCTCACCACTCCAGGGTAAAATGGAAAGACTAAGATATCTCCACATCCCAGGGTAGAAATGGAAAGACTAAGATACCTCACCACCCCAGGGTAGAAATGGAAAGACTAAGATATCTCCACATCCCAGAGTAGAAATGAAAAGACTAAGATATCTCCCCATCCCAGGGTAGAAATACAAAGACTAAGCTGCCTCTACACCTCAAGGTAGAATGGGTTCGTGAAAGCAAATGCAATTGTAAATGTTAACATACTGCTGACTCCTGTGTTTATTTTCTCTATAAAACAGCAATACAGAGTTGCAAGGAAGGACAAATATCAGCAACAACAATTATACAACTGTATTCGTGGCCTTTGCTTTGAAGGTAAGTTTATTTCCTTTATATTTTATTCAGTAATGAAAACATTTTTCTAGGTCACTAATTCACTTTGGGGGGGGGGGGGGGGGGGGGGGGGGGGAATAGTAGGTCACAGTGTGAAAATGTGCTCTTAACTTTACTTATGTCCCTTGCATGAACCAGTTTTTCTTGAATAAACAAAATGCTGTTTCTGCCTGTATTTACCAGTTTTGCGATGGAGGGCGGTGAGGGAGGGGTGATCTTTGTGGCTAAGGGCTTTATGGATAGTGTTGTCACCAGAGAGTGCAGGTTATAATTGTATTTTTGCCCCTGACAGGAAAAACTCTTAACCTAACCGAGGATCTCACACCTGGGTCTCCCACATGAAGGCCATAGTTTCTAACTGTTTAATAAGTAGCAGTCATCTTCATGTGGGATGCAATTTTTAGTTATTTTGAAGCCCCAGCCTGGCCTTTGCCGGGGGCCCTAAATATAGCCAGGCCTTAAATATGGCCCAACGGCTGAATGGGGTTTCCAGGACCTCTCTATGGGTGATCCTCTTCCGCATGGTGGCATTTTGTGTCACCGGGTATTTATCGCCTGTGTGATGCCTGGTGGGGTACAACCTACCTACCTACCTATAACTGTTTGATGAACAACTCCTCACTTGAGAGCCCAGAGTTTATAACTGTTTGACTATGAACTCCTCACATGGGAGCCCAGAGTTTATAACTGTTTGACTATGAACTCCTCACTTGAGAGCCCAGAGTTTATAACCATTTGACCATCAACTCCTCACTTGAGAGCCCAGAGTTTATAACTGTTTGACCAACCACTCCTCTCTTGGGAGCCCAGAGTTTAAAACCATTTGACTGGCTGCTCCTCACACTGGAGTCCAGAGTTTAAAACCATTTGACCGGCTGCTCCTCACATCGGAGCCCAGAGTTTATAAATTTGACCATCAACTCCTCACTTGAGAGCCCAGAGTTTATAACTGTTTGACCATCAACTCCTCACTTGAGAGCCCAGTGTTTATAACTGTTTGACCAACCACTCCTCTCTTGGGAGCCCAGTGTTTATAACTGTTTGACCAACCACTCCTCTCTTGGGAGCCCAGAGTTTAAAACTGTTTGACCAACCACTCCTCTCTTGAGAGCCCAGAGTTTATAACTGTTTGACCAACCACTCCTCTCTTGGGAGCCCAGAGTTTATAACTGTTTGACCAACCACTCCTCTCTTGGGAGCCCAGAGTTTATAACTGTTTGACCAACCACTCCTCTCTTGGGAGCCCAGAGTTTATAACTGTTTGACCAACCACTCCTCTCTTGGGAGCCCAGAGTTTATAACTGTTTGACCATCAACTCCTCACTTAAGAGCCCAGAGTTTAAAACCATTTGACCGGCTGCTCCTCACATCGGAGCCCAGAGTTTATAAATTTGACCATCAACTCCTCACTTGAGAGCCCAGAGTTTAAAACTGTTTGACCATCAACTCCTCACATGGGAGCCCAGAGTTTTAAACTGTTTGACCAACTACTCCTCACTTGAGAGCCCAGAGTTTTAAACTGTTTGACCACTAATTCCTCACTTGAGAGCCCAGAGTTTTAAACTGTTTGACCACCAACTCCTCACTTGAGAGCCCAGAATTTTAAACTGTTTGACCACCAACTCCTTACTTGAGAGCCCAGAGTTTTAAACTGTTTGACCATCAACTCCTCACATGAACCAATCAAGTCATTTATATGTTAATTAGAGACAGTGCCATCTGAATTGATTATATGCTTGTCACATACAGGGAGTTATTGTTCAGTGTGTTTGAGGTCACTGAAAGAATAATATGAATGCATCAAAATGACCAGCAACTTTCAGCAACTTAAACCAAATTAGAAATATGACATCTGGGTCTACATAAGTAAATTGAAAATGATTAATGAGGTGATAGTGTGGATTTCTACACTGTAAAAAAACACATGAGTATAGCATACTATCAAACCATCAGTCCTTGGCCAGTGGATGAAACATCTAGTTCTCAGAGAGAGTATAACAATTGCAGACTACCAGAGTGCATTTGCAATATCTGTCTATCAGCATTTGGAAACTTGAAAGAGTGTGCCCAGCAGGCCAATGCCCAGACCAAATTTCACATTAGAATAGGTACACATGAAAAGAACAAAAATGTCAACATGTGATTCTAGTTGTGCACAGTATCATCCTTTCTGGCCCTATAGAGCAGTGTCTTTCACTGGTAGCTCACGTGCACACACAAATACAGTAATGTTATGGCACCCAAAGGTTATGTAAGTTGCAGTCCAATCTGGACTGGGAATAAGGACCATAATTCCTGCAGCAGCTCTATGATTCTGGCACTACATTGCTATAATGCGAGTGGGGCATCATACATCAATTTTGTTTCGTGTTTATTAAGTGTCGGGTGGGCAATGAAGCAATTTTCCCTGATCTGGTCAGTAACAGGTGTAATAAAAAGAATAAGGTTGAAAAACACTGCTATAGAGTTCCTGAGCTATACTGAGATTTTTCTCAATTAATCCATCATCAGAGCAAACTGAAATGTGAACTCAAATGTTTGTGTATGATAAAAGTTATTCTTTACTAATGAAATTTAACCGCATGGGTTTCGGGGATCCCATTGTGGGGGAAAACAAGAACAGACCCACTGCCTGCCCAAAAGCATGTCGTAAGAGTCGACTAATTTGTAGCTTCCCTTCGAAGTCGGAGTACATCTGCCTGAGAGGCAAGGAACCAACAGTCTGCATGCAAATGAGTCAGACCTGTGAAACGGATATACATGCAACACTCAGGTTCTGGAAAAGGACTGGAGTCCAGAAGTGGACAAACAACCAGAACTTCCCGCCGGCGTTGACAGCTGGTGAAC